GCTTCTACTTCATATTGTGCACTTTAAAGCAGATGTAGGTCATTTTGTGAGTTTAAAACAACTATCCCTGCATTAAGAGAAATGGAAGAGAGAAGAAAACAAAAGCATTGTTTACATCTAACTAGTATTTAGTCTATTTTTAACATTCTTCTTTTATTTAAATGGTGTCATTTTGCCAAATGAGATAAATAAACCAATTCTGGTTGCTGGCTTTAATTGCAAAGCAGCATGTTGTAGGATGTCCAGGTGAAATGTGTTTGATTATCCAAAGTAGTGCTGCAGGTTATTCAACCCTCAAAGCATTTAGATCTAAAGTAACGAAAGAGAAAAAGTATTTAGTTTATTATGCAAAAAATTTGTTAACTTTTGATGGATGTATTTATTCTTGGGTCTAATGGTACAGTCAGGGTTTATTACAGGACGTATTTGAAAATGTTTGATAGATGCAGTCGGCTCATGTTTTGTTTTGTTTTTTTCTTCTTTTACATTTTTTCTATAAAAACAATCATCCTTTTCTAATAAACATAGCTGCTGTCGGAGCAATCACATGGTTTAAAAACCAAAAGTAAATTAATCAATTCTAGATTAACAGTACAAATAACTGGTCTGGTACATTCTGTAACCATATTCTATTTTTCACCAAAAATAGGGAGGATAATTAGAATAAAAATCTATATCAATTAATTAATTATTACAAATGTGTTGAAGTACATTATATACATTATATATATTTGTATTGTTTATTCAAGACAGATATGTACTATAAGTTATTGTTTGTGAATAAAAGGGAGGTGTTTGTTATATTTCAGGAAACTAAAGCCCTTCAGGCTGCTTTACCTGGAATTCTGCTATTTAAAAACAGATATTTTTGCCTGCGAAGCATTAGTTTCCTCCCCTGAGCCTTTAGAATGCATATCATAAAGATCGACCCAGGAAGAAAATGGATCAGGAGAAATGACCCTCCCTTGACAGCTAAATGGCTCCAATGACATGCTAGCTTTCACGTTCACTCTTGAGAGATTAATCATTTGGCTCAGTACAAATGCCTCCCTTTATTCTTGAATCAACATAAAATGCTTTCATTGAAGCTTTAAAGTCAAGTGAAAATATTTAACTTTACTCACATATTATTTTGGAGTGTTATTTTATTTACAGGAATAAAAAAGATGCAGTGGATTGCATTCCTTACAAACCTATAGCTGTGCATCTGCTATCATCACCCGGCTAGCAAAAACCTGCTAACATTATCTAATTAAATGTATGTTTTATGTATGAAATTGTTTAGTGTTCCTTTTAGACTAGTAAATTGCTTCGTAAGAGTTTTTGAGTGTGTCAGTCACCTTGTTTATGTCAGAAAAGCTATGGTTATAGCCTTTTCTGGTTTCCCGCCTAATTTACTTTCCCGCCTTTTTCCAAATCTCTGTGCTGCCTTGGGTATGGAGTCTCTATTGGAAGCTTATACATGAGGAGTCACAAAATTTTTGCATTATTAAAATAAAATCTTAAAAGGATTTATACAACAAAATAAATCCTTAATTTCAATTTAAATTAAACTTGAGTTTTTATTTTTTTTAAAAAGCTTGGCTAGCTTATTAGCAAGTTGGCTTAGTATTTTTTTTTTCAGAAAAAAAATTAACAATTTATGACAAAAAAAATAGAAACTGTTAAAAATCAACAAAGGTTATGATAGTTAATCATTTCAAGAATTAAAGAGTATTAATCTTTTTCGATTAAATCTATGTTTTTAAAACATTTTAATTAACAGCTGTATTCTCAAGATCAAAAAGTATTTCTTGATAGTGTTTACACTGTATTCAAGACTGTTGAAATAATATCTTTAATGATATGTTATTAAAGTTTTAATAATTGTTAGACAACGATGCACATATTTAAAGAAGACATTACTGTTTTAAATGTATTAATTATTTATGCCAATCTTTAAAGGTAAAATACCATAAAGTGCTTCCTAAAGGATTCAGTTACAATATTGTTTTATGAACCTGAAGGTTAAACGTCTAAATGTTGTACTTTCCTTTTGTTGTTGTTTTGCATCTCTATAAGAGAATATATTTGCACTGCATTAAAAACTGTATTTACATGCTTGAATTGCCTGCATTTATGCTTTATCATCTTATCTGTGATAATTATTATGAATCAGGAAAAAAACATATGCATATCAGTTCCTATATGTAGAATATTATCCTTGTACCATTACTTTCAAGATCATATCACTTTATTCTATAGCTATGTATATCTGTTTATGCTGTTTTGGTCTCATGGTTTTTTAAACCCTTTTTTATTGTGTGAATAAATTATTCTGAGATTGCAAGTATTTAGAAAGCTCTATGCCTTACTGTTGTATACCATACATTTATTATTTGGGGGATGTTTGGCTTGTAATTTACCAATAATTTTTACCGTTAACTTTTATAATTATGCAAAAATGTATTGAATTTTAGAAAGAAGCTCATACTTATAGCTTTTTGTGTATAAAGTCATATTCCAACTGCATCCAGACCCGTTACAGGGCAGAAAATTGTATGATGTTTTGGCTATGGCTCAAATTAGTGTCATTTAAATGTCTAAATTCTTGCTTTGCCAACCACCCATATTGCTTTAAATGTACCACGAATACAAGGTGTTGTACACTGTTTATGGGCTGTCACAGTCATAATGCTGCTGAAATAAATGTTTTGTGCTTCCACTTAAGAAATTTTTTGTTCATATTACATACAGTTGATTGAAAGTTTACAAACCCTCCCATTAAAAACCGAAAAACAATCAGCTGTCATTACTAGTGTAATTTTATCTTTTTCTCTGATTGGGAAGAGTATGTAAAATTTCAAGCAAAGCAAGATTTTTTTCTGAGTAATGCTCGTTAATTGTGCATGAGGTGTTTCTAATTGTTTTTTGCTTTAACAGTATGAGATTGAATTTAAAAAAAAAGGTATTATCGCAATAGTCATCTGAAAATATTAAATACAACATATAGCTTGTTGATGGGTTCCTTTAGTTAACATTTAAATGTAAAAGCTCTCTTTAACAAGCTAGCCAATAAAAAAATCAATCATTAATTAACAAGTAATAAGACCATTTAAATGTATATTCCAGGTGACTTGTTTTAGTTTCCTTAAACCCTATTTTTAAGTAGCTGTGTTAATGTCATTACTTACAATTGACCTAATCAATCTTCCTTACTTGTTGTAACTAGCTAGAGAAACACCAAAGACCTAGTAACAAATTATCATTGCCACTGAAATTTCTGTAATAAAAACATCCAGATTTTAAAAGAGCAGAGTATGTAGATGGCAAGTTACAGAAGGGTATTAGAATCTAATTTCAAAATGCATCTTAACAATTTATTGTGGCTAGATAGCTGCAAGCTAGCAAATAAAATTTTAGTAAAGAAGACCAATAAAACGTTTCATAGTAAAGAAAATAACGTGTTTTTTTTAACACTTAGCAGTTACTTTGAGACCGTAAAATATATTTTGAAAAAGCATACATTTTATCTATCTGGTCTAGCTAATTACTTAGCTAGTAATGCTAACTTGTTAAGTAAAAATAAGTGTTCAGTAAATCTATCAAGCAAATTTGTTATGGCTATCTAATGAAGGTAACTAAACATGTAAAAAAGTTATTAACTTCATGTTTTATTATATTAAAGTCAAAATAAATAACTTGTTTTAGCTTGCACTGCCTCCCCTAGGAATTTTGGCGGGAGGGGAACACTGTGCTAGCTGAAAGGAATGTGTCAAGAAAAATAAACCACTAAGAAAGTTGGATAGTAAATTATGCTTTCCTTACAGCTCAGTCCCAAAACAAAATAATAATAAAAAATAATAAAATAAAATGCAGGTGTGGATTGTAATTATGAACTCTTATAATGGAATTGTTTCGTGCTATCTTTGATCAAATTAGATAACAAGCTAGCAGTAAGCTAAGAAAATAGCTTTGTCTTTATAGATTGACATTTAAAGGTTTGTAATAAAAAGTTTACATTTAATGCTAACTGGTGTACAGTGAAAAATAAACTATATATTTATTTTATCAATTAACCATTAATTGGCGGATCATTTAAATACATTTGTTTGTAACAAACTTACTTGCTAAATGATTACGCTAGTTATTAGCGTTTTTTGATTTTCTGCAATAAGGGCTGGGCAATAAATGTTTTTAATGAAAAAAAAATTTGTTTTGTACAGACAAAATATTTTTGAAAATTACACCTTATGTTTTTTTTTTAGTTTTTTTTTTACTGGTGTACTTTTGGTCTTCTATAGTTCACAATGAGATTATCTGATCATACTTTGTTTTAAAATGTATCATCTTTGGGTAACAGCATAAGCTACTAAAATGTTTTGCTTTATGGCAGTGCATTCCAACTTATTTAAAAAGAACATTTTACAGCCTGTGTTTCGTTCCAATTTGAAATCCGGTAAACTAAAATAGGATATGATCAAAATAAAAAGCTTATAAAATTAACTTCTGTCATCTATTTGTTTTCATAAAACTAAAGGCTCCAAAAATTGAATTGATTTGATTTGAAATCTGGGATTTTATTTTTTATCTATATTACTGGGCCCCAAATTAACTCGATATGGTTGCTTAGTAATTTGAGAAGTTAAAGATTCACAAAGTAATCTGATTTATTTACTATATTTAGTAGTTTTTTTAATGGATGCAGTTCAAAGGGTTTGTAGAGATGCTATAAATAACAGCATTAACACCAACATTGGATGATGTCAGACATTTTTTTAACATATTTGCATATAATGATGCAGTGAACTAAAACCAAAGTAGGATAATATCCATTTCTATCAGCCCATTTTTACATAAATAACTTCCTATTTCTATTTCCATTAATTTTATGTTTTTTTTAATGTTATATACTACATTTTTGTCCATGAGAATATTTCTCATACTTCCGTGTGGTTTCGTTTTTTATTTCCATTATAACCCCCCCTAATCCGGCTGTCCCTCCCCTCTCCTCTTCACAGCGAGGGCTGCAGGCGAGAAAACACGGTGAAGAATGTCGGCACCAGAAAATACGCCTTCAACTCGCTCCAGCTCAGGGCCTTCCCCAAACACTACCGGCCGCCCGATGGCACCTACGGGAAGGTGGAAACCTGATGGAAGCACCGGCGCCATGTCAGGTCATCAGCAGCATCACTGGACCTCTTTGTATGATTCAGATTAGACAGATTTACAGTCATGACTCATCCTGGACTGATACCAGATGTTTTAGATGACATTTTGTTGAAGGTAATTTAATGTGCAAAGTAGAACCATATTAAAAAATATACAGGCAAATCTTCTAAAAGGTCTGTTTTCAGGTACGCATACAGAATGTCGCATATGTTATGTCCATAATACGCTCAACACTGTTTTACCTCACTGCCTCAAGTTTTTCAAGCACTGATAATCGATATTTACCTGCCAGATTAGAGGGAGGAATCATGTAAAATCCAGCTTTAGCTAAAAATTAGTGCATTTATCATGTAGCATAAGAAGCAGTGCCTTTAAAATGTTGTCTGAAGTGCCCAAGGAGTACCTTTTGTTTTTCTTAGTGGATGGACCAGAAAAGTTCATGTTTTGCACCTCAGTGTTAAAGAATGAATCAGCATTTTGCTGAACTTTAACAATAGATTATTTAAAAAGACCTAATAAGGCGATTTAAATGAGGGTAGATTAGTGCAGAGCCAACGATGTTCTGAATTAAACACAGAGGGAGGCGTCACTGTGCTTCTACCTAGATACTGTACGCAGCTCTACATGTCTGAACCCGCTGCCATGTGTGCTAAAGTTGTGCTATGTACATGTTTTAGTCGTCACTGAGATTTTGTTTTATTTTGTCTCTGTTAACATACACAATTTACTTTGAATATTTGAACATTGTTTTGTCATGTTGTTAAAATAAACAACTTTTTTTGCGATGTTATCGTCTTGAAAGTGAATATTTATTTTATTTGAGCACACTCGCTATGAAATAAACAGACATCAAGGTAGGTAACTGATTCCTACAGCTAGCTTTTATCCATAATGTCAGAAATTTTATGTCCCTCATTAGTTCCCCCCCTTTTTCCACACAAATTAATCTAAGATGATAAAACTTTTTTTTTGTTTAAGGCTCTCAATCCTCATCTGTCTGCTGATAAAAATTGACTGTTTCTGATTTAATCGTCATTTTTCGAATGAGGCTAAAGGATTGCAGGTGACTTGGTAACAACGGGGGAGAGATTAAAGTTGTGTCCCATTAGATTTATTACCATCACACCTATTTGACCACAACACTTTGTGGAATGAAACATTACGCAAACGTACCACCAGCAATGTCCCAATGACACAAGCCCCCATTTCAGATTCTGTAGTGTTGCAACTTCAAACACTTTAGGCCTTTTAAGGCTCCTATTCTTAACCAGTTCAAACAAAGCAGGAGAAAAGATAAGACCTCTCACACTGATTTATTGTGGTAAAAAAAAAACTTTATGATATTTGGAAAGTACAACAATAAGGCATTGGATTAGCAGTTAAGTGCACAATAAATAATGCAAAATTTTGATTTAATCCATCATTTTAAACTCATTAGCCTTCAATTTACCCTTTTTTTTCTATAAATATGTACCCTTCAAGCTAAAATATCACGAATAACTCCATTTTTCTACTTTCTTCTATCGTTAGATTACAGGGTTTATATATTATTCATTTTCAGGAGAAAGACAGAAAAATATTACAAAATTTCTTAATATTTAAGAAAGAAGATTATAAGGGAGCTTATTTCAAATGTCCTGGGAACAGAAACAAACAACATTTTATATACTGGTTGAAATAATGTGTATGAATAATTCTTCAAATGAAGATAAGACTGGATGTCAAATAGTTTTTTCAGTGTTTTAAAAGTTAAATATAAAGGCCACGTACATAAAATATTCTTAAAAAACAAAAATTATTTATGCAGAGATTGTATAAAGATTGTTCATTTTATATATAAACATATTTGTGTATATTTATTTTTTTATGCTCATTTTTTCAGCAATGTGCAGTTAGGTAAACTACGGAAGCCGATTTCTGCCACATGAAACTAAAAAAATGCCAAACAGAACGTCATAATTATGACTTTAAATCTCATAATTATGACTTTCTATTTGGCTTTTTTTTATTTACTTTCATGTGTCAGAAACAGGCTTCCATAGTAAACTCGTATTTTGATCTAGCTGCAACTTTTAAATACTTTTTGTCTTTATTACTATTGCAACTTTTTTTGCAATAGTAATAATAATAAAAAAAGTCCTGAAGCGTTTTTTTTTTTTTTTTTTTTTTTTTTTTTTTTTTTTTTTGTTGGGTTATAAGAAATAAAATAATCTAAAAATCATACGCCAGCATGAAAATAATATTTAAAATATTTTTTACCGCTCCCTGGCTTATAGGATTATACCTGTCAAAAAGCTGGATACAAAAAACAAAATCCCATACCCCGGTACGTTTTTTGCGTCTCTCAAATTGATCGCCGAGTAACTCCTCTCGGTTATAGATTATCTCTGCAGCTAGCCGCTAGTCTCTCAAATTGATCGCCGAGTAACTCCTCCTGTTTATAGACTATCTCTGCAGCTAGCCGCTAGTGTCAACAGAGGAGCTGCTAGCAGCGGCTTTTCTCTGCTAACAGCTGCATTAACGGAGGAGTTACCTTCTGGGTGAAGCTGACAGCGAGAGAAAGGGCCAGAAGAACCGGCTGGTGAGGAAGAGGAGGTTAATTCATCCTGGTTACTGTTAAGGTTTGCCTTAGTTTCTAAGCTAGTTTCCACATTAGCTACTAAAGATTAGCAAACACCTGCCAGAGGCTGTTCTGATTTTAATTAACGATTGCTGCTGTAAATAAGATATTAGATTATTTGTGTTGTTGTTGTTTATCGTAGGGGATGAACGTAAGGTGCTTTCGTTTTTCTTTTTGAAGTAGTTGGTTTCTGTTTTTCTTCCTATCAGGTTGCAGCCTGTAAATGTGAGCTGATTGTTGGTCTGCAGGTCAGAGGTGACAGGTGACTGTGCAATGATGGAGCATTAAAGCCCTGATGGAGCCTCAGGGTAAGAGGTAGGCCCCCCCCCCCCTCCATGGATGTGATCTCCATGTGACACCGCCTCACTGCTCACTTCTGCTTCCAGCTACAAAACAACAGTTGTTTGGTGTTAAAGCAGCACATGGTGACAGCTGCTGCCTAATTAGCCCACACTTTTTATTTTTCAGTTTCTTTCTTTTCTCGATGTTTTCCTCCGTTTCAGCTCTGAAGATGATGATGGAGGAGAGCGGGGTCTCCTCCACTCATGGAGGGGCTACTCCTGCAGCTTGGTCCCAGAGAGGCTGCTCCTCCAGAGGCCGGTGCTCCAGGTGGCCCTTGGGGCCCAGCATGGAGTGCTGTTGGTGGAAGGTGAGACCCTGTTGGATTCAAACTGTGAAACCATTAACCAAACCCATTGAGGGCTCTACAGTAGTTTATCAGTTAAAATATGTTGATAAAGCAAAAGAACCAAAGAGCCAGAGGACTAAAGCCTCTGTACATGGGTTGTACGCACTAAACCACTGCGCCACCTGAATGCCCCCGGTTACATCTTTAAATAAGGCCGTCATAGGTGGCTTATATCTGGTGAGCTACAGTTTCAGTCATTGAAGCTCACCTTTTTCACCATGGTTCTTTGAAAATGGCTGAAGGTCGTAAGAGGAAAAAGTGTCTATGAGAAGAAAAGGCCTCAGAAGTGGCAGATGTATCCCAGAATGCTTTGCGAGAAGAGCTCTCCTTGCAAAGCATTCCAGGATATATCTGCTTCTTCTGAGGCCTTTCTGACACCATAGTCTGTCACTAAAGTTATCACCTAAATTGAGCCTGTGTAGCTTTTTTTGCACAGAGGAGAGGCATCAACTTCCCTTCTGTGCTCACAAGGTGAAGATATTATGATAGAAAAGTGGAAAAAAAGACTTTCTGGCAGTTAGCATGGCAGGATTTATAATTTAATACGTTTCAAGAGAGCAGCTTGAACAATCTGTTTAAAAACGCTGCTAACAGCTCAACGTCTCATCCAGATTGTTGGATTACATTTAAAACAGAGAGCTAGTTAGCAGTTAGCGTGACCTTCATTGAAACTAAGTGGTAAATATTCTGACAGTATGTTGGATATTCCTGTTTTGGTATTGCTGATTAATACGTTTAGTAATATGTAAGAAAATATATTTTTGTTTATTCAGTCAGTGTTTAATACCCGAGAACAAAGATGGCGCAGGCACCGCGCAGTGGAGGAGGAGCAAAAAGTGGTGATGATCTGTTCGAACAGTCAGTTAAATGAGTTCACTATAAAGTCCCCTCTCTATATAGTGATTTAGGGTTTAGGGTGAACGTTAGGACACGGTAAGCTTGTATGAACAGCAACTTTTAAGCAGAGCATGCATGAGGAGAAATGGTCTTATGCATTTAGTATTTTTAATTGGAGAGGTTGGGTCTTTTAAAAAAATTCACAAAAATCCTCCACAATACCTTTTAATTAATGTTGTATTAATTTCAAATGTACTTTTTTCACTCGTTATGTAAAGAGAAAAAGGGAAAACTGTTAGAATCATTTTGTAACGCAAAGCAAAAAAACCTTTAATTCTATGTCTATAGATCTATATTCATACCCTCTAACTATTCTTGACTCTCATTTGCTGTTTTGTATTCTAATAATAAAACCCTGCTGGGATTTTCTTTAAATAAGGGTTTCAAGCAGGTTTCTCTTCATATTCAATGAATTTTTGTTGGGTTTTCTCTGTTTCCAGGAGGACAGGTGTATAGTTTCGGAGAGTTACCATGGAAGCAGGCCCAGGTCGCCCAGGCGACGAAGCCAACCCTTGAGAACGCCCTCAGCGGTCAGCGAGTTGTTTCCGTGGCAGCGGGGAGCTTCCACAGTGGGGCGGTGACAGAAGACGGCAGCGTCCACATGTGGGGGGACAACGGGGCGGGCCAGTGCGGCCTGTCGGGCCTCAGCTGTGTGCCCAACCCCACGCCGGTGGCTTTGTCGGACCCAGGCGGCACCCAGACGGCGCCGGTCCTGGAGCTGGCCTGCGGGGAGAAACACAGCCTGGCGCTGTCGGTGCAGAGGGAAGTGTGGGCGTGGGGCAGCGGGTGCCAGCTGGGCCTGAACACCGACGTCTTCCCCGTGTGGAAACCTCAGAGGGTGGAGCAGCTGGCTGGGAGGTTCGTGCTGCAGGTGGCCTGCGGGGCCTCCCACAGCCTGGCCCTGGTGCGCTGCCCAGGGCTCGAGGGCCTCCAGCGCCCTCCTGTGGACAAATGCAACCAGTGTAACCAGCTGCTGTACACCATGACGGACAAGGAGGACCACGTCATCATCTCTGACAGCCACTACTGCCCGCTGGGGGTGGAGGCCAAAGAGGAGCCCGCTCCCACCCAAACGCTGAAAACATCCCCGTCTGAACCCGTCCTGCCCTCCCACAGCAGCTCTACTTCAACCCCAGCAGATCCCACCCCGGACCCTCAGGACCCTCAGAAAGCAAACCTCACTAACGGAGCGCCCCCTCCCTCCGACTCGGACCCCCCAGCTCCCCCTAAAGCCATTAAAAGCTCCCCTTATCCAGACGAACAGGAGGTAAAGGAGTATCTGAGGAAGCTGTCGGACACGTCGCAGGCGGAAACCAAGATGGCGGCAGGAGGTCTGCACACCATGCAGGTGAGCATCCAGAGAAAACAGATTTTAGATCTAGAACTTTACTTATTGTGCTCTGATTTATTTACCTTCATGGTGTAATGAGATGAAAGTGTTCTCACCCTCATATTACAGCCATGTTGTAGGAAAGCACTCCCACATCATGATGCTGCCACCGCCACTCTCATAAAAACCTATAAGGCTTTCAAAGATAAGCTTAGGTAAAATTCCTGATTTTGGTAATCGAATGGGGCGGGGCTAAAACCTTGCTACATTTATATAAAAATATACCAAAAGCTGTTTCATGTTTTCCCACCGTTGAAATCCTTTAAATTAGCTTTATTGTTCATCAGAATTAAATTTGTTCCATCTGATTAATTGATACTTTTCGCTTGGAAGGAGTTTGTCAGGCAGTGAAATACTTTAAAAATTTGAGTCAAGATTTTTCTAGAAGGACAGTAAAAGACCTTATTACCTTTTTAACATAAACAATATATATATATATATTCATGGCAAAAATCGAGTTTGATGCAATTTTCAAAAGCAGTCATTTGTTTTTATGTGGTTTTTAAAAAAGTGCTCCATAAGATTCCTGAAAAAAGAAAAAACTCAGACATATTTTTAACTTGATTTATCAATTCTTTTAAAGTCAATAAACAATTTAAAGGGGTCATAGAATGAATCTCTAGGGTATTTGGTGCTTGTTCTTAAGGTCTCTGAACAGGGTGTGTAACATTGGTTGGGCCAAGACGTCCTCTTTTTCCCCAGATATGTCCTATTTTTCATACCTTAAAAAAATGTCCAGGGGAATTTCAAAATCGTCCGGCTTAGCGACGCTAAACAGCTTAGCAACAACTTACTTACAGCTTGCGATTGTGTGTCGGGAACAGTCCCTCGTTTCAGTGAAAGAAGTTTAGCAAATCCTGTCCAAGATTTTGAAAGCTGTCTTGGGTAAAATGCTTAGAGCAAATGAACAGCTGAGCATCAAACTTTGCAGGGATCTTCTGATAGACAAATATAATCCATGCCTGTCGAGTCTTTGGATCCTTGGGAAGATTGTGAAAATTTCCCTCTTTCTCCGTGCAGCCTGGAACACTGCATTTACACCCCTGGTTCTGGCTCATTTTCAATAAAGAACCTGCCTGCTTTGTAATTCTTGTAGAAGTAAACCCAACTGTAGGCTAAACAGCTAAACTGACGTCTTACATCTACCTCTATTCACGTTCTTAGGCCAGGGAACCAGTGGGCTGGTCTGTATGTACATTTCGTGGCGTGACAAAAGTACAGGCCAGAACCAAATAAGGCAACATCCCCGAGTTGATGTCAAGTCAGCGCTTCATTTGGATTCGCCGGTTTTATGGTGGAAGTTTGGAATTGTGAGATTTGCAGAGAAAGGNAACAACTTACTTACAGCTTGCGATTGTGTGTCGGGAACAGTCCCTCGTTTCAGTGAAAGAAGTTTAGCAAATCCTGTCCAAGATTTTGAAAGCTGTCTTGGGTAAAATGCTTAGAGCAAATGAACAGCTGAGCATCAAACTTTGCAGGGATCTTCTGATAGACAAATATAATCCATGCCTGTCGAGTCTTTGGATCCTTGGGAAGATTGTGAAAATTTCCCTCTTTCTCCGTGCAGCCTGGAACACTGCATTTACACCCCTGGTTCTGGCTCATTTTCAATAAAGAACCTGCCTGCTTTGTAATTCTTGTAGAAGTAAACCCAACTGTAGGCTAAACAGCTAAACTGACGTCTTACATCTACCTCTATTCACGTTCTTAGGCCAGGGAACCAGTGGGCTGGTCTGTATGTACATTTCGTGGCGTGACAAAAGTACAGGCCAGAACCAAATAAGGCAACATCCCCGAGTTGATGTCAAGTCAGCGCTTCATTTGGATTCGCCGGTTTTATGGTGGAAGTTTGGAATTGTGAGATTTGCAGAGAAAGGAGGTTGATGGGGTTTGAACTTCTCTATACGTCCATTTCACCCACTGAACTGTCATTATTCATCTATGACAATGTAAACTCTGTTTTGCATTCTATGACCCCTTAAAGTTTAAAATGGCTTTTTAACTTTTTGACTTAGCTTATTAAGCTTTTAACTTAACCCAGTGACTGTTTTTAAACTTAATTTACAGCTGGTATCAAATCACACAAAGTAAGTAACATTAGAATACTGCTGGTATTCTATAAAGCGGACATTCAACCTCATGATTTTGCCTCATTGCTGCGTAGTGGTTTTACCGATGAAGGGGAAGTTATCGCCTAAATTTCGCCTGTGTAGCCTTGCTGCACAGAGGAGCGGCATCAACATCCCTTCTGTGCTCACAAGGTGAAGATATGATGATAGAAAAGTGGAGGAAAAAACATGGGGAAAAAAAAAGACATGCTAGCAGTTAGCATGGCAGTTCTTGCAGGCTTTTGTAATTTAATACATTATTGTTGGATTACACTAAAAGCAGAGAGCTATTTAGCAGTTAGCATGCACTTCATTGAAACTAAGTGGTAAATATTCTGACAGTATGTTGGAGCCCTGTATGTTGGAGACTTAATAAGTTTAATAACATGTAAGAAAATATGTTTTTGTTTATTCAGTCAGTGTTTAATACGGCTAAACAGAAACATACAGGGAACAAAAACAGGTGATGCTGTTTTCAGGGATTTATTTTGAAGATTTGTGTCAAAACTGATCATGAGACACTAAAGGTAAACAAACACACAAATATACAGTGTTCAGGCAGGTTTACTACTAAAAATAAATAAATACAACAAAAATAAAGTGATGATGTAAGTAAATCTAAATCAACTTTTAAATCCAATCACTTTTTTCATACAAAACCTTTGGTATTCAACAAGAGCGTCGAATAAATGAATGAAAAAGAGCTACAGCGGAGAAGATTTTAGGTATTACAGGTTGTTTAGAACTAAAATAATTTATTTTTTTTATTTTGACTCGTCTCATTTCTGCGGAAGCGTATTGCATTAAATGGGATATCACATATTATCTCATAATTATGACATCTTATCTCGTAATTATGAGATAAGATCTCATAATATTGAGTACAGGATCGCATAATTACGAGATATTATCTCATAATTACGAGATCTTTTCAGATAACTACGACATAATATCTCATAATTACAAGATCTTTTCAGATAATTACGAGATAATATCTCGTAATTATGAGATAACATCTCATAATATTGAGATCAGGAACTCATAATTACGAGATCTTATCTCGTAATTATCTGAAAAGATCTCGTAATTAGGAGATAAGATCTCCTAATTAGGAGATAAGATCTCGTAATTGTGAGATATTATCTCGTAATTATGAGAAAAGATCTCCTAATTAGGATATGAGATCTCCTAATTAGGAGATAAGATCTCCTAATTAGGAGATCTTATCTCGTAATTATGAGAAAAGATCTCCTAATTAGGAGATAAGAGCTCGTAATTACGAGATACTGATCTCGTAATTTTGAGATAAGCTGTCAGATTTTTTTTTCTTTGGTGAATGCAAAACGCTTCAGTACATTTCCGCTCTGTATGACCTTTTTTAATTCCTCCTTAAATTTGCCCTTGCTCCATCTTTTCCCGCCAGCCGTCATTGTCCGGACGCAGCTCTTCCGCTCTCAACAGCCTGGTGGCTTCCTGCGCCTCGGCGGTGGGCGAGCGGGTGGCCTCCACCTACGAGGCCCTGTCCCTGAAGAGGATGATGAACTTCTACCTGCCGTCACGGCTGGAGGTGCTCGGCGGGGCGGCTGACGGCTCTGCCGAGCGAGTCCGCAGGGAGGAGTCGGTGCAGACCAAGAAGAGCTCCAGCACGGGGGACATCCATGAGGAGGAGGCGGAGGGTCTGCTACGCCGCCTCTCACTGCCGGGGCTCCTCTCTCAGGGTAGATACGCTGTTCACCTCTTATCCTCCTCCTATGGGCCGCTGCGTAAGTACAGCGTGTGCAGCTGGATGCATGCCATTGGTTCTGCAGCTTCTTTACTTGCTCATCCTCTTCATGTTGGCTGAAACATCTTTCCTTTGCTTTTATTGACTTTTTGTGTTTCCTGTTTTTAACTTTTGCCACGGTGAGGCTAAAGTTCAGCCTCCAGCTGTTTGCGGGAAGGTCCATAGATAACCATCTGCATGATCGCCTCTGAACTCTGCGTAGCGCGTCGATAGAAGTGAGAAGGGGAAGTCAAAAGGTCTGATTGGAAATTTTAAAAATGGTTTCGGTTTCTAAAAGGAACAGCAGCTGCGGTTTCTGCCTCAGACGAACAGGAAGAAAGTTTCATTAGTTCTCATATCAAAGCTAAAGATTTCAGCCACACGTCTGAAAAAATAATTCAGTGCTTTGATTTCACTGAATATTACCTAAACTTCAAACCGTCCATGAATTCATCCATTCATCCATCCATGATTTCATTTTTCTGTCCATTCATTCCTCCATAAGTTCACTCTTCCACTCATGAATCCACTAATCAGTCCATGAATTTCCAAACTCATCTATTTGCAAATTGTACCCATTCATCCATCCATGGATTCAACAGGTAATTAATTCATCCATTCATCAGTCCAGACATCCAGAAGATAATTCCGGAATTCACTCTTTGAATTTATCCAGTCATTAGTTCATCTATCATCCATGAATTAATCCATT